CTATGCTTTTAATAATAAGTTTCTTTTATAATAAAAGATTGAATCAAAACTTGATTCAAATTGCTAATAAATATAATTAAAAATATTAATAATCTAAATTAATAATTGTAATATATATAATAATCATCTATATAGTAATATACTAAATCTAATATATTAAATGTATAATGATTATTTGTATATTTAATATAAAATTAATTTTCATAAAAAAGTAATACAAAGCTAATCTGTAATACAGATAGTATAAAATAAAGATCTAAACTAAAAGAAAGATAATCTAATTAAAATTGTTACATATTATTTTTGAAAGTAGAAGATCTTTACTATAAATAAGTCATATTTTTTTATTTATTTAGTTTGTTATTTATCTTAATTTTATTTTTCTTTAGTTATAGTTTTCTTTAATTAATAATAATTTTATTATTTAGTTATTTTAAATCTTGAATTATATTGATTGAAAGTGACTTCACTAATAAATCTTTATAATTTCTTTGATTTATATTATTTTTTTATTATTTATTTATCTCTTTAAAAGATAATATCTATAGATATTGGTATAAATCTTAGAAATCTTTGTTAATATTAAAAGTATAGTCTAATTTTTTTCTTTTTATTTATTAATTAATTTAGTTTCTCTTAATCTAATATCATTAAGATGAATCCAAATGAAAATTCACTTATCAAATTTACTATAACAGTATTATTATAAAAAAATTTTAAAATATAATTAAAAATTATAATTTTTAAAATAATTATAATAAAATAATATGATGATAATTAAAGATAATTAAATATAATCAGATCTTTTTATAATTATCATACTTAAAAAAGCAAAATTAGATAACTAAAGAGAGATATAATTATAGAAAGATTTTTTTAATTATAGTTAATTAGTAATTAAAACTAAAAAAAGATAATTATAAAAAAAAGTAATTATAAAAAGATATAATTATAGAAAAATCTGACTATATTTTAATTTTTACTAATTATAATTAGTAAAAAATTAAAATATTTAATTATTTTTAATTATTATTATATTATATTAAATACTTGAATTTAATTAAACTTTAATATATAATCCAGCTAAGAAACAAAAAATTTAAAAAGTAAATATTAATATTAATAATAATAAATTAATAAATTGCTAATTTTATTTATATATAAAATATTATATATTTTCAAGAAAATATATTAATATACTACCTGGACAAAAGTATTGACCACCCTAACTTTATTAATTATTCAAAAGTGTATATAATAATTGGGACTAAAATTTTTATATACTATAGTCTAACTTATTATGAATTTATATATAAAATTAATACTTTGTTAGTCAGCTCTTGCTTGCAATATATGCTTCAACCCTTCTAGGCATACTTTTAATTAAATTTATTAAAATATTGTTAGAAATTTGGCTCTATTTCTTCTGTAATGCTGTCTCAAGCTCTCTTATATTTTTAGACAAAGTTGAATGATTTCTAATACATCTTTCCAGTTCTGACCATAAATATTTAATAGGGTTCAAATCTGGTAATTGGCTTGGTCAATTAGATAAAGTTCTGATCTTTTTTTCTGCAATTCATTTATTAATATCTTTCGCAGTATGAATAGAGACATTATCATCTTGAAATAAATATCCTTTTTCACTAAAATCTTTACTAATCAATGGTAATAAATAGGTTTCAAGTATTTAAATATAATTGAATCTGTTCATTTTTTCTTCCACTTTTACCAATAGACCTAAGTCTTTACCAGAAAAATAACCTCACATCATCAAATCTCCACCCCCAAGTTTAACTGAAGAAGTCATATTTTTTATATTAAATCTTGTTTCAGGAGTTCTTCAAATACAATCTGAACCATCATTCTTGAATATTATAAAGCAACTTTCATCATTCCAAATAACAGACTTCCATTTTTAAATAGACCAATTCTTTCTTTCAATATACCAGTTTAGGTAATTTTTTCTTTACTGATCAGTAAGTAAAGACTTGGATATTGGAATATGAAAAAAAAATTAATTTTGTATAAATTTCTTCTAATAGTTTTAGTAGAAACATCAAGTCCAGTTCTTTCATTAAATAGTTTTTTAAGTTGTTCAGCTGATTTTTTGTTGTTTTGCTTAACAATTCATTTTAATACTTGCTTATACTCAAAATTTAAAAGTTTTGGATGGCCACTATGTAGTTGGATTGTGAGACTTTTTCTTTTGAGAAAATTTTGAATTATTTGTCTTACTGTTATTCTAGAAAAGCCAAGTGTCTTAGATATGCTCATTTTTGTAGTACTACTTTTAAAAAGCCCAATAATTTAGTCACATTCAGCTTCAGTTAAGTCAGATATTTTCAAAGTAAAGATTAAAATTGATTGATTCAGTTTATTATATTGTTTACAGAAGAAATAAATATAAATAACATGTAAAAAATATATATACATTTTATAATAAGTTAGACTATAATATATAAAAATTTTAGTTCCAATTATTATGTATACTTTTGAGTAATTAATAAAGTTAGGGTGGCCAATACTTTTATCCAGGTAGTGTATTTTTAGTATAATAATATAAATTTATAAATATTAATAATATAAGAATAATAAATTTAATTTCAAGAAAATTTTAAATATGATATTTAAAAACTAATTAAATAATGAAGTTAATTATGAAATTTTATTAATAAAATATTAAATAATATTAAATTTCTTATTATATTTATTAGCAATTTGAATCAAGTTTTGATTCAATCTTTTATTATAAAAGAAACTTATTATTAAAAGCATAGTCTAAAAAACTAGTATCCATTAATTTTTATTTAAAAGAATTTGATTTTAATAAAAATATATAGTAATTTATAATATAATAAGTTCTTTATAATAAAAATTTTCAATTAATCAGACTTGACAATATAATGGATCAAATAGTCTAGTTTATTGTATTGATATATATCAATAATTATTAATGAACCTGCTATATTAATAATTATTTATAAACTTTTTTAAATCAGTAAATCAGTATTTATTATAATTATTCATTATATTAACAATAAATAATGTATTATATAATACAAAATTTATTTTTTTAAAAAAAATAGCTCAAATCTTAAAATCCTTATCCAATTCCAATTTTAATAATTAATATTCCAATATTTTTTAATGCTCATGTAAAACTAGCAATTATATTGCAGAAATATGCTGCATTTAATTTCTCTTGAATAATGTTTGTTCAGTCACATCCTATAATGCACATCTTCTAAGGGTGTACACTTAGAGGGTGTGACTGTAATTAATTTAAAGTTAATCCCGGTTTTTAAGTAATAATTCGAAATATTTTTTAATGATAATTTTTTTGTAATCACTCCATAAATATATTTCAACAGAATATCAACAGGTTCATTAGTAAAATGATCTAAAGTAGCTAATTGAATAGAAGAATTGCATAAAAATATTTTAGGCGTGATGTTAATAAGATTATTATAAAAGTTAATAACTAATTTATCTCATTCAAAATATAGAAATTAATTTAATTATAAAAAACAAAACAGGAATCGAAAAGAAAATCACAAATAATACATTAAGATTCTCATATTAGTTCCCTGAAAAGTCGCTTTAATAACATCATGCACATATTCAAGCGGCAATTTATCTAAACCCGTTCCAATTCTAGGCATACTCAAATTCCTGACGTCCATCTCCTCACACATAACTCTCAGTTCATTTAATGCACGCTCGAAATTCGCCTTGGATGGTTTTTGAAAATATTTTTCCTTGGTGATAACGTAAAATATATATCGACCGTCACGTTCGAGGTACGCGATTTGCCCAACTTTTTTATTTTGTTCTTTTAGTTCTTGGAGACCTTGAAATTTCTTTTTAAAGATGTCCGCAATCCCTTTTCCCATTCGAAGATCTTCGGAAATACAGTGTGCAAGCGAATCGCCAGGTGGTGAGTCTGTGAAAAGGTCTCCTTGAATTTCTGTAAATTTAAAAGTGTTGGATGATTCCATTATTATTGTTGAATTTTTTAGTGATGAATGTAAATCGTTATCGTTATGTGTGGGTGGGAATATCAATTTATACCAATAAATTTGAATCATCTGATATATTAACATTGTCTAATTTATTTGTAAAATATCATTATAAAAATCAAAATGATAAATTTTCTTTTTTAATACATGATAATGTACGATCAAACCTGGATATAGCAAACCTGGTTATTACGAAGCATTAATTGAATAAAGGAACAGCTATAGTAAATGTGCCTGGATAAATCGAATTTACTAAATAATTTTCCATAAATTGAATTGTTCGAGATTTTTTCTAACAGCCCGGCCTCTTCGTTATATCCAGGTTTGATTGTAAGCGATGCTTATAACACTTAAACGGAGCACTTTTGTGCTCTCATAGCATTTAAATATCTATTATTCTATTTGATAGTAATGACTTAGTCTTATCCCTTGCGCAAGCCAATCAGTACCATTTTTTGGATCCAATAACAAATACGTGTACCAAGTAAATATGTGTTCTCATTCGTAAGGAATAAAATTGCGATTTAAAGACACATATTTTTTGGACAAATCCATCTTTATCGAATTAAAGTTTTAATTACATGTAAAACGAGTTTAGATTGTATTGACTTGACGCAGAATTTGTTATTCTATGCTAAAGTTTTTCTTAAATTAACTAAGATTGATATTCCGATATTTTTTATACATTTAATTAAAAGGATTATAATGCATCTAACAAAGACAGTCTCGATGTAAATAACAGTAATAAGCAACAAAAAATTTATATTATTACATAAATTGAAATAATTAATTAGATTAGATAATAGTAATTTTAAATTATAATGGCAAAGAATTTATCCATTTTATAAACATATACAATGAATTTCGGGCTGGTAAAATGGTACTTCATGACCAGCATTGTAAACACGAACGAATCGTAAGTTACTTGCTTCTTGGTAAGTTCCAGCTTTTTTACCATTCACGGACCATTCTTGAACTGGTGCTTTTCTGAATTGATCTGCATGACTCCATTTTAAATTTAACGCCACATCATGACCTCCATACCTAAAAGTATTGCGATAACAATAAGTTTAGATCCAAGAGAACAAAAATTTAGAAAGTGTCACTATACCAATTGCAAATAAAATCTAGGTTGCCGTGATATAACAAAGTAGGAATATTTTTATCTAAAAGATATTCTATATGATTAGTAGTATTTGTTGCACTAAAAAAAAAAGGAATCAATTACTATAATTTAAACAACCCATCTTCAAATAATTATATTTTTTCTTACAAATCTCCACTACCGTCAAAAGCATAGAAAACCAGGGTTGAACACATTTCAAAATTTTTTTTCGCACCAATTTGCTTGATGACATCAAGCTGGTTCAGATAGTTCACAAAGTCAGTTAGTGGGTCGTTATCATCTTTGATATCGTAAACGCTTCGGCCAGAACTGAATTCATAAAAAGTTAGCAAAATCGCGCACCATTGATCGTCAATAGCACCACAATTTTTTTGTGATTTACAGCATCCTGATACTATAAAAGACAAAAGCTAATATTAGTAAGAGAATGAATAAGAAGCACATTAATAATTAGTAAAATTCACATTGTTTCTGGCAATCTGGCATTCTGTCTTTCAGTCCTTGACAAGTATCACTATCTATACCTATATAATATTTAAATATTAATTTCGATATCGATAAGAAAAACTGCCCAATATGTAAAATGATTTTCTATAGCTTACCATTATCACAAGCAAAACTTGCATAGGAGTCACTACGCAATATCGATATGAATGTTATTAACTATGCTACATAAACTGCTTACTATAGACTTAGTGGATTAATCCATCCGATTCCGATTGACTTTAAATTTATAATTCTACCGTTTTTACCAGCAATTACTGCATTTGTTGATTATTGTGGTATATGACTCTTGCTGATGTTAGAACTGGCGCAAATAAACATAATCAACAATTAATACTATATATTAAAAATCTGAAATGCTTACTATAATGACCAGCATATGATTCGCCAAAGAAATGTAAATCAAGTTTCGCATATTCTGGGAATTTTTCAAAGAATTTTTGCAAAAACACATAATTTATCGGCCGCTTGTTGGGATGTGCTAACTTTTGAGCTATCGCCATCGGAAAATCCAACACCAACTGGCTAAAAAGCGTGAAAAAATACCGGATAAACTAATTGATTTGTCAAGCAGTTTCTAAAGAATAAACAATCGTTCAGACTGATCAATAAATAGCATATGAGAGACTTCATTCCAACTATTTGGATTCGGCTGTGTCAATGCCCCATTGTTAATAGTACTACATGGTCCCAGCTCTTGAAAAAGTCCAATCAATGATGAACATCCGGGACCTCCATTGAGCCAAATGGTCAAAGGAATAGATTCTGAAGGAAGTGGATGTTTCTTGTTTCGAGATTCAAAAAACCAAAAGAATATGTTTTCATCTGACGAAATGTTTAAATATCCTGAATACTATCAAGCAAACGAATGAATTCGCTAATTTAATATGAAATGTATATAAGCAGATATCATTTGAAAATATTATACTTGTTTTACACTCGGATCACATAATTTACTTGAAACAATATTAAATACTCCAACTTCACTTTTGTTTACAGGAACTTAACAAAAAAACGTTTATAAATTTGACTTATAATAGGAAACAATACAATATTTTCTCACTTGAAGTACTAGTGCTTAAGCTGTTCTTGTTAAAACCATAAGGATTTATCCATGCATCAGTCAATGACGAGCAAAAAATCAGCAATAGACTTGTTAATAACAATCGCGAGATTTTTGAAAGGAATACAATAATTTATTCATTTTTACTAAATTCTATTAATAATAAATACTAAGGTTCGCAAAAAAAAATTTGCTCGAAAAAACAGACATTTTATAGGAAAGTTAGCTTATCCGCGTGCTTCTTAGAATTGTTTAATAAGATATCATCATAGGTTTTAGATGTTAGTCATATGCAAAAATTCATTTTTAAGGTTGATCAGATTCGTAATAAAAATATGATTTTTTTTAATTTATACGTTTATATATAAAAGTATAATTTTATACAATTAATATTATATAATTAATAATAATAATATAATAAAAATTAATTAATTTTATATATATAATTAAAACTTTTTATTTAGAAAAAATTTATTAAGATAAAGTATTCTAATTTATTTTAAATTAAAAATAAAAATTCTATACTATATTAACAATATATATTTAATATATCTCTTAATACTAATTATATATAATTCTAACAATATATTAATAACTAATAAAAGTTATAAGTTATATATAAGCTATTAATACTAGTCAAGATATTTTATATATAAATTTTAAGAGATATGGTGCAGAACATCACGTCACATCCATACTGCGCCATAGCGCTGAAATTCCATCTGCGAGTATTACATCATGGTTTCATATCAGGGGGTATATTACTTGTATAGAAAAGTAATAGATCATATGATAAAAACTTTTTTCGTTGATTCTCTTATCAAATAAAGTAAATCGATTCCTTTACACATGCGTCCTAAGGATCAAATCCGACACTTGAGAGCTCTCAATACTGTCAAAAAGAGAATTCATCAAGAGATAGATAATGACAGTAAGTATATAACTCCATAAATGATTTGTAGATTTTAATAAGCATAATTAACACAGATAAAAGGCAGCAATAGTGACTTGGATGATGATGCTGTTTGGGTTAATGACGACTTTGAAAATGAATTAAAAAATATGTACAGCATCATGTTAAATGCCGCAGCAAACCAAGTGCATTTAAAACAACTGGTTGAAAAGGGTTTTACGTTGGAACTGCTAAATCTATTATTTGAAACAAGAAAAGAGCATGACGATTAGCTGCTGAAAATTCAAGAAAAATTGATAATTTTTTCCAGCCATTGCCCAACACAACTGCAGATGATTTTTATATTATTTTTATTATGATCAAGTCAAAATACTTATGATATTTTTGACTTGTTAGGTTCTATTCAACAAACAAATGAGCCAAATTTTGAAAATAATTTGGATATGAATTATGATTTCTCTAGTGACGAAGATGTTAAATTTTCACTTGAAGAATTAGAAAAGCAAATCAAATGTGGAACTAAAGACACTTGGTTACAATATACTGCCCAATACTTATGACTTACGGAATCTGAATATACAAAACAGCAAGCTAGTAGTCTAATCTCATCATCTATCAATCATGATCCATGAGGTGCACGATTAATATGATCTTGAAAGAAGCAATTTTTAGAATATTGTACTATTTTAACTTCATTTCGTGGCAAGCATCAAAAGATTCATTCTCTCCTTCTTGATGAGAATATTCAACATCAAGTTCTTTAGTATTTGAATTCAAATAAATTTGAATTGAGAATCTCAAAATTTTGTGACTTTGTTTGTGACACTATCTTATCAAATATTGGAGTTGAAACATGCAAAACTATTAGTAAAAGAACTGCATGAAGATGGCTAGAAATTTTGAAATGGAAATACAAAAAGGACTATATTTTAATGATCATGAACGTAAAGATATCTTGGAATATTAATAATTATTTTTAGAATTTATAAGTTAGCTTGAATCTTTAATGTCAAATTGATCAGATGATTTAACTTGCCAAATTAATTCACAATTATTAGAGGGCGAAAAATTACATATTCTTGTAATACATGATGAGTATATTTTCTATGCTAATAATAGATAAAGATCATTTTGGATATCAAATGAGAAATAATCATTACAATATAAAAGTCTTGGTACCAGTTTAATGGTCAGTAACTTTTGTGTGATACAGTTGATTAACTTCAATTGAATAGTGAATATCAATAACAAAATAATCTTCATCCATCTGAGTAATAATTACCTATTAAAGCCTACTGTATTATTCATTCTGATATAAATTGTGATGATTATTGGACTAATAAAAATATTACAATATAATTACATGATAAAGTAATTCTAGTATTTGAAACTATATATTCAGAATATATTGATATATTTGCTTTTGACAATAGTAACAATCATAGTATATTTCTAGAAGATATTCTAATTATTAATAGAATGAATTTGAAATCAGATGGCAAGTAATCTAGAATGTATCAAGAATATATGTGAGATAGTACATTTCAAGAAATGAATTTTGCTAATGATACTCCAAAAGAAATACAAATTATACTGGAAGAAAAAGATTTATAGCAATCAGATCTTCATAAAATTTGTTTAGAATTTTCTAAAAAATATCAAAAACAAATAATTATTATGTTATTCAGCTCTTGAGTTTGAAATCTGATTTTTTAAATCAAAAAATAATTCTTGAAAAAGTAATTGAATATCAAGAATATAAAATAATTTTTTATCTAAAGTTTCATTACAAATTAAAAGCTTTTGAGATCAAATAAAAAAATATACTCATCAATACTATGATTATAATTTCAAAGTACTGAAATAATAGTTCTAGCAGCTCTTAATTCAGTTTTAAATTTGAAGATATTTATATTAGACTTATTGATATATAAGTACTTATAGATTGGATTTATCAATAAAATAAGTAATATTTACTATTCAAAAATATTATTCTTATTAAAAAATTTCTGAGAATATTCTTGATAATAATAAAGTTAATAAAATTTTACATAATTATTATATGATTATTATATAAATATTATGTGAATATGATAATTTTAATACTGAATTTTTAAATTTATTAATAAAATAAATTAACTTTAAATTCAAATAACTTTATAATAAATAATTTTTTTAAAAATATCTTTTTATAATTTTATTCTTTAGCTTATTAGCTATCAGACTATAAAAAATTTAAAGAATATAAATAATATTATTTATTTATTATTCTTTAAAAATTCATTATTTTTTGGAATATAACTAGATATCTTGTATTATAAACTAATTAAATTATATAATAAAAAATTAATTATTTTGATAAATTAATTAGAAATTTATATTCTTATTATTAATAAATCTAGTTTTAATTATAATATTATTTAAATATATAAATATGCAAATATATAAATAATTATATAAATATATATATATAAATTTAACCTGTTTTTATAAATTTTTATTATTATTTAAGTATTAATATTTATAAATAAGTTTGACTAGTTATTATAAACTAAGTATTATAAAATACTAATTAAAAGTCTTAGAATACTTAATATTTTTATTTTATTTAGTAGAATTAAAATATATTAATCAGAAAAAAGATATAATTATATATATATATAAAATATTTTTTTTTTATTAAAAATAATTTATATAAATAAATTAAGTAAAAAGTAGAATTTATTCAAAAATTATATCAATCTTAATATGTCAAAGAAAAGTTAATAATTTTTTATTATCTTTAATATTATAAAAATATTTGTAAAATAACAAAAAAATTTGATATTAAACTTAAATAAGTATATAACTGAAAAAACAAGATATAAAAATTAAGATCTATAATATTTCATATTTTAAAATTTCATAAGAAAGCTAGCTATATATCTAAAATTAGAAATATTTTTTGCTAATTAGATTTAATATATATATAATTCTGAAAAAATAATTTAAAAAAAATAGTATTATAAACTTTCAAATTTAAATAACTCTCTATATCATTAATTTTTGATTAATTTTTTGTGAAAATTACTTAAATTTATGCATAATATTAAATTATATATTACAATATTATATAAATTGAATTGATCAATATAAAAAATTTTAAATATTTCAGTTTTTCTAAATCTAAACTTTTGTATTGTAAAATTTTATATTAATCTATAATATAATAATTTTTGATAAAAAATTGCTTATTTAACTTTTTTAAGACTTTTAAACTTAAAGAAAAAGTTACTTATTCTCAAGAATTACTTTAAATTCAAGAATTTATAATAATTTAAAAAGTTATATTTTTTATAATAATAAATAAATAAAAAAATTATTATTCTAGAATTCAAGATTTTAATTAAAAAATAAAAAAGTTTTTAAGTTTTATTCTCTATTATCAAATTTAATATAATTATTATTTTAGATTTATTAATAATATAAATAAAATTTTATATATTTAATTATTTAATTACAATAAATTAATTAATATAAAACTAATATTTATATAATTAATAATAAAAAAAGAAATTTTATAATAATTTTAATTTATATAAAAAATAGTATAAAACTATTATTTTTATATTTTTAAATTGAAAAAAATTTTATAAGAAATCTTTACTAAAAAAATTTTTATTCAAACTAATATAAAAAAATAAATAAATAAAGAAAAAATATTATAATAAATTAAAAGAATATGAATTGAAAAAATTTCTATAAAAATTTATAATTTTTTTTTATTCTAAATTTCTTTAAAGGAGATCTAGAAGATAATATATAATGTTAATTTATTAAAAAAATATAAATATTATTATAATTTTTAGAGATTTAATCTCAAAATTATAATTTTTAAATATTATAATAAGTATTTTAAAATAAAAATAAATTTATCTTTTTTTATATTATATATATATATATTAATTTATTATTTTTAGATATATAATTTATATAATTATTAAATATTATAAAATATATATTAACTTATTAGAACTGATTAAATTCAAAAATTATTCTATATTAAATTAATAAAATAAATTAAAATTATATAAAGTGACAATATCTTCGCGTTACTTCATTCTTCACACCCTAAACCTTAAAAATA